TCATCATCATTCTTTAACCATATCTTTAAATTTAGTGAATCTACGTTGCCACTGCTCAGTCAAGTTCTCACTATCCGGGAGAGACGACGATTCGAATCGATTCCTATCCAGCTGGAGGGGTATTCCTAACACTCACCCAATCCACCTGATCAATGGTTTCCTCGGGTCACCTTTGGTACAACTCAGGAATCGCGGTTCTGAGCAGCGCCGCACCCTCAGGGAGTCTACTCTGCCAGGTGGTCAATCTGACCTCGGACTTGCGCCAATAGCTCCCCGCACATCCTTACTACCGCCAGGGTGCGCACTTTCACTTCCCAGACTTCCAGCCTAAATTGAGCTACTCGGCTTCGCGGTCGAAACAAGTTATCCGGCCAACTAAGTGATAGGCATGCGTTCAACATGACATGAGGACGTCACAATGAATCGGTCCTTAAATGACACAGACGGGATAGATTCACACCCAAGACGTCCATGCCTTGTTGCTGCACTACCGTCATCCCGTCCGGTCTCTTTTTATTAACATTATTAACACAAGAGCTCATCCTACATCTTCGGTGACAGAAATCACCCGACTTCTACCGGTCTAAGCATAGCTACATCATTCGATCCTACACTGACATCTCAAGGTCCTATAATGCACAATTGCTTAGCCATCCATCTTTGGGATAGATCCTCCATACTTGCCGTATTATCTTGCACCGTCCGGTTCGGCTCAACATCACGTCCTTCATCTGGTTCATCTACACGTTATTCCTAGATGAGATGCAATTCATCTAGCGTGCAAGATACATAAAGTATAAATATGAAGAATAGTACCATGAGACGCATCACAAAATAGCAAGCAAGACAAGCATAGTTTACACTAACACACTTAAGTACTTTGCGATGCTTAACTTAAACATCACACAATCTATCATGCTAGGATGGCAAAGAAGACGACAACACCAGGCATGACACAAGTTTCCCAAGATCTTAGGTGCTCTAACTCAATCATCATTCAAGGCATAAGTCACACTTAACAATATACAAGCAAACACTATAATTGGAATCTATCAATTTCTGGACATGCAAACAGCAGCTACAAGATTTAGCTATAACTAGAGTTACACAAATCCAAATGACTTGCAAGAAGACATTTTGGAAAGCTTATGAAATTATCTACATTTCATCTATAACCATCATAGCATGATTCACAAGTTAAGTAGGTCGAAATTATACATTACAGAAACTGGTCCACAATTAACAGAGAGCAGCCATTTCTGAAACATAACTTTAAACAGGCATAACTCACAAACTACTTGGCCAAATGACACCAAATTTTAACAGAAGCTAGATACATGAATCATCTACAACTTTTATATAAACAAGTTTCACAACAAAGCACATTATCATGAAGAACTTTGCTAAGTTCCCAGATCTGTCCATAAACCACATTTGCAAGAAAATAAATATTAACTTATGTTGCAAACACATAATTAGGCAAAACCAACTTTACCAACATGTCATACATGACTAAAAAACACTAGAAAACCTAGTGTCCATGACCAAATAAATTCTTTTAATGCATTTCTTAATTTATTTTAGATAACAAGGTGACTTAATGAACATATACCAAAATTATACAATAAATTCTACAAAAATTATAGTGGCTCACATATCCTCTCAATAGTCTACTATACAAATTTCACTCCATTTGAATATGTATAGAAACCTCTATGAAAAAGACAAGCTGCTAAAGCAAGAAATCATGTGAGAGCAAGATAAACCAATAACTCACTCAAGCAGAAACCAATGCTCATGAAATTTTTCCCACACATCAACTATCACATGAGTAGCACGCCACAAAAATTTCACTTCATTTGGAGCCCTAGATCTGCAGTTATGGAAAATAACAAATTCAACTAGCATTACAACCTTACTGCACAAATCTATTTTTACCGCAAAATATTGAAACTAAAACATGTCATATTATAGATCTAATGCATAGAGAATTTCACAAGGGTTCCAAAAAGTCCTCATTTGCTATTTTACGAATTTCCTATGAATTACTATGAATTTCCAAAGATTCAGCAAATTTACTACAAATGGATCCTTATCGGCACTATTCATTTGAGTCACAGACTTCGTAGTTAGAACCTTCCCTTTTCTTGAATTTGAGCGCGAAGTCCCTAGTGTTCTCTTCTTCAGAGAATGAAGCACGTCACAGCTTGGACCGGCCGGGCTCGGCCGAGAGAGCCGGCAGCGGCGGGGAGGACTCGGCAGGGTGTAGCCACGGCCGCGCCTGGCCAATGGCACGGCCAGCTACAGCCCATGGCCCTCCTGGCCACGTGTGCAGCGGCATGCCGCGGCAGCGGCTGTTGTGCCGATAACGGCACGACGAACGGCGAACGGCGGCGCTGCTAGGGTTGGGGAGGCGGTCGAGGCGCCGGAAGCAGACGCGAAGGCGGTGCTGGGAGGCTCGATGATGTCTAGGCAATGGAGGAGCGTGCGACGCAGTAGCTCGGCTGCTCGGCCATGCCGAACAGGTGACAGTGAGAGAGACCGAGGGAGAGCAGAAGAGTGAATGGGAAGGGAGAGGAAGAGAGTGAATGGAGAGGTTAGGAACAGGGCTTGGGCTCAGCTACTAAAGCGACACGCGACGGGCGAGGTGGCGAGCGGACAGCGAGCGCGCGAGGCCACGCGGCAACAAGCTTCTGAAAAATCGGCCACGTTCAAAATTTCCGAACTGAATGAACTGATCAAATACCACCTCAAATATACAGGCTAAAATTCAATCTTCGGCTCCCTCAAACTCTCAAACCAGCCCTCTCCAGCGAAAGGTGTAGTAACAAAAATTGTAGAGCTAGAAGCGATCTACAAGTTTGTTTACATGACTTTGGGATTATTCGGTTCGGTTTGCAAACTACAGAGCTCTAAACTGGGGTACATGAAAACTAAAACTGCACTCTAGACTTAGCATATTCCCAAGTGCTAAAAACAACTGCTGATTCAAAGTTTGAGCCTCGGTTTGACTTGCTTCCAAGCTGATCTAGCTCTTGGTCCAAACATAAAGTTTGTTGTACATAACATGGACTCCAACTTTTATTTAGGTTCAACTGCCATGCAAACACTCTAAACTACAGTTCAAACCAAGTCAAAGTAGCATCACTATAAACCTTAAATCACCCTTTTTGATCTATTGGAGCATTTTCTGCCCACCTGGTCAACATGAACCCTTCATAACTTTTGTTCATGAGTGCAAGTAGAGTTGTTTGAGCAAGGTACCAAGGTTTGGTTGACTTCATAGGTTTCCATCCACTTGATAAAGCAATTCATGCAAAGATATGACATCATTTCATGTGACTTTTTTATTCCAAACTTCATGAAACTTTTCCATGGTTCAATATAGATGGATATTGATGCGCGACACACGAAGATATCCCAATCACACCACCCAAGCATATATCTTGAAAAAAGCCTATATGTAGGCCAGGATGCAATATCCAAGTTTAAGTTGGGCTCATGTTTATAGGTTTGGCTTTGACATCTTCAACACCACTTGATCTGTCATGATTGAGCTTAAACTCATTGCTTAACTAGTGACAAACACCTAGGGTGTTACAGCCTGTAACGTCCCGCCTCCTCGAGGCCAGGCCCGCTTACATCTGATAGCTTTCCTAGGACATAGACTACCCTCACAGACCAACACCAGTCTTTTCTGCGCACTTTGTCCTCACTCATGCGCCCCCGGGAAAAACTTCCCAGTCAGTCACCCATCGCTCCAGGCCAAACACGCTTAACCTTAGAGTTCTTAAGAGATAGGCTTCCAGAAAAGAAGTTGCAACTTGTTTGTACGAGTATCCTATTAATCCTATTAAGCCCTGAGACAGGGTGTTACATCCTCACCCCCTTAGGAGACCGACGTCCTCGTCGGTCAACCCAGGCCAGGAACGTCCCATCTTGGCCACGTCCGTGTGTCCAGTGCCAGCGCATGTGCCATGCTGGGTGACCACTCTGGGTCCACACTAGCCATGCGCACCATGCCTGCGCAACTGACACACGCACCCATGAAACCGCAAGGGTCGGCTCTGATACCATTCTGTAACGTCCCGCCTTCTCGAGGCCAAGCCCGCTTACATCTGATAGCTTTCCTAGGACATAGACTGCCCTCACAGACCAACACCAGTCTTTTCTGTGTACTTTGTCCTCACTCATGCACCCCCAGGAAGAACTTCCTGGTCGGTCACCCATCGCTCCAGGCCAAGCACGCTTAACCTTAGAGTTCTTAAGAGATGGGCTTCCAAAAAAGAAGTTGCAACTTGTTTGTATGAGTATTATATTAATCCTATTAAGCCCTGAGCCGGGGTGTTACATCAGACTTATGTTTCGTTAAGTAGACATAGCCATATCTACTAAAGTCATCAGTGAAGGTTATGAAGTATTGGAATCCGCCTCTTGCTGTCGTACTCATTGGTCCGCACACATCAGTATGTATGAGTTCCAGCAAGTCTGCCGCCCTCTTAGGAAAACCTATGAAAGGCGTCTTGGTCATCTTGCCCAGCAGGCAAGCCTCACATGTCTCATATGATTCAAAATCAAACGAAGTTAAAAGCCCATCAAAATGGAGCCTCTTCATGCGATTCTCACTTATATGGCCTAAACGACAATGCCACATATAGGTAGGACTTAACTCATTAAGACGAGGCTTTTTAGCACTTATATTATAGACAGGTGAATCATCAAGACTTAAAACAAACAATCCATTCACAATGGGTGCAAAAGCCATAAACATATTATTCTTAGAGATCACACAACCATTGTTTTCACTCGCAAATGAATAACCATCCTTCATCAAGCATGAAGGAGACATAATGTTTCGACTTAAACTAGGAACGAAATAACAATTATTCAACTCCATGATAAATCCTGACGGGAGGTGGAGTTGCATCGTCCCGACGATCAACGCAGCAACCCTTGCATTATTGCCCACACGGAAATCAACTTCTCCTCTTTCAATGCTTCTACTTTTTATCAGTCCCTGCATCGAATTGCAAATATGAGCAACCGATCCGGTATCAAATACCCAAGAATTAATAATTGTATCAGCGAGAAATATGTTGTTTATAACATTAATAACAAGCGTACCTGAGGTGGAAGTACTCTTACTTCCGCCATTCTTCAACGAAGCCAGATACTGCTTGCAATTTCTCTTCCAGTGACCAAGTTCGTGACAATAAAAGCACTCTTTGTCTAGAGCAGGTCCAACTTTAACCTTGGGCGCTGGGTTTGGCTTAGAATTCATAGCCTTGCCCTTCTTCTTCCAAGAATTGCCCTTCTTCTTAAAGCTAGGCTTGTTTTGTATTGCCATCACATGGCTGCTTCCAGCGCTTTTCTTAATGTCACCCTCTGTTGTTTTAAGCATGCCGCACAGTTCATTCAGACCCTTCTCTGCCCCATGCATATGGTAGTTCGAGATGAAGTTCCCATAGCTAGGCGAAAGAGACAAAAGAATGAAATCAGTGGCCAACTCTTGGCCCAGTGGGAAGCCCAGCTTCTCCAACCGTTGAACATAACCAACCATCTTGATTACGTGTGGCCCTATTGCTATGCCTTCTGCTAGCTTGCTTTCCACAAAAGCCTTAGACACATTGAACCTTTCAGTCCTAGCCTGTGTCTGGAACATGTCTCTAAGCGCCACGATCATATTGTACGCCGCATGATTTGTTTCAAACTACATCTGCAGTTCGGGTTCCATGCAAGCAAGCATAAGGCAGCTTACTTCGAGATTAGCATCACATGCTTTCTTGTAAGCATTCTTAATGGCAGCAGGTGCATCATCAACAGGTTCTTCTGGTAATGGGGTGTCTAGAAATCTTCCTTTTTATTAGCCCTGAGAACAATTCTCAGGTTACGGATCCAATCCTTGTAGTTTGTTCCATTCAACTTGTCCTTCTCAAGAACTGAACGCAAAGTAAACGGTGTGGTGTTGCTAGGTGCCATTAATCTACAACAAATAATAATGCAAAATACTAAGATAAAAGTATCCATGACAGAGTAAATCACATTAAACTTTTAACATACTCTACTCCCACTAAAATCAATATCCCTCTATTGATACTTAGTGATTCAGGATCCACAACTAACAAGTCTACTAGTGAGCTTTAGCATCACCGCTAGCAGTCAAGGTAGATCGGTAAGCAACTCTTTGCTAATCATATCACATATGACTCCTATTGTTGGGTGACATCTCCATGTCTCGGTGCCCAACCTTCATGCCCCAAAGTCCTTAACCATTAAGATGACCTTTGTTAAGCAAACCAACCCTTATGTGTGTAAGTATCCGATACAAACCTGTCTAGTCAAGGAAAACCAGTGGCACCCTAATTTCATAGACCCACCACCGATTGTACAAGACACATGACAGTGCAAGGTTTGGGGAAGCATTTTAACTTAAACATTTCTAAGGGATCGTTCTACTTCACCATCGCATGTAGACAAAACATTATTGCACGTGAAAGTAGAATATAGTAAGAACGGCATTAACACAGATATGACATGGTATAGCCCATTGTTCCTTTGGGGATCTCCATCTCCATCAAACTGTTCCTCATGATGATCTCCATCTCCATGATCCATGTATGCCATCCTTTAGTGATGAGTCCACCAAGACTAGCTATCACTAACGCAAGGCAGTGAAGAAAATTACATAGTCGCGGATAGGATCATCATAGTTTGGCACGCAGGCCATTACATCAAATTGACAATATCTTTGTGGCTCCAGCCATATTGTCATACTCATGACATGCAAGCCATGAATTAATTACATACATGCATCACATACACATAAGGGCTATACCAGTCTTAAATTCCTACAAAACAGAGTTAACCAATTCCGACATCTAATCTTAAAATGCCAAAAACACCATCTTCCTGGCCGTTTTTAGAATAACCATACAAGTAAAGAGTTTCACATACAATTCACATAATTGCAAATCAATTCAAGTAGACTTTAATGGATATTCAAGGAACACAATATGAAACATGGATACAATGGAATATCATCATCTCTATGATTGCCTCTAGGGCATATCTCCAACAAAAAGGACTACAGCGTGTGAACAATCGACTATTTCACATGAACAAACCTGTGGACTCCTCAGACTCAACCCGCTATCTCTAACAGTGGGGTTCGACCGGATCGATGCAGCCGTGAAAAAGGCAATGAATCAAACCCTTAAAGCACACAGATCTACTCATGCTTAATGGAATCATGTAAACATGCCATAGGCGTTAACGCACAGGCGATCTACTATTTAGCCGATGCAGGCATAGCAAACAGCTAAGGTCATGGCTAACTAGGAACAGATCTACTAACTAGCATCCTCCAATCTACAGTGCCATCAGTGGGGATCGACCAGATCGTTACGGCCATAATGGTTAACCATAAACTAGATTCAACTAGCCAGTAGACCTCTTCAAGATTATGCATGCCTTAACCACATACTATGCATGATCAAGATCAAAGTAAAATAGCCAATGGAACATAAACCGGCGTTCAAGGTAGGTAATGTCGTGTTGTAACAAACGAACGACAGATCTAAAGGATATGATGATGATCTAATTCGATCTCGACGGGGCGAATTGATGTTGCTATAAACTAATAACAATGAAAACATCAGTAAGATCGGTAACTTAATGAATCTACCTAAAGGATGCCACCCTTAGATAGAGCCGATAATTTGACCTTAATCTAGTTCGAGCAATGGAGGTCGACCGGATCGATGCAGCCATACTTGAACTAGACACGAGTCGATAACTAGCTTATACTAGAGTCGCAGTGGAGGTCGACCGGATCGATGCAGCCATACAAACAGAAGTATAAGCCATGATGGTACTTATAGACAAGTCGGAGGTCGGCCGGACCGATGCAACCCTGCTCACTGAAGAACTCACCGAGATCTACTCTACTCCTACTCCTAAGGGGTGGCCAGAGCCGAAAAAGTAAGTAATGTGTATTTGATTGATTGTGTGTTTTGCAATAGCCAGGGTCCAATATTTATACCCAAAGCCTAAACATGAATCCTACTCGAGTACGACTCATTACAATCTTTGGTATAGAAGAAAACATTCCTATCTTAAGATAACTTAGACCCTAATCTTTCCCTTTTTGTAGAGTCCGATCTGTATCTCCCAACGCCAATCGTAGCCCATCATCATTATTTGCTGACGTCATTCAAAGAGAGCCGATTCTAGTGTATCAGCTAATATTGACCCTTCATGCAATCAAGTCCTTGATCGACACAATTCTAGAAGCCTCGAGTTTCCTGCGTTCTTCTCCAAATTTTGGTGTAAACAGAACGGCGCCCACTTCCGACTCTGGCCCGCCTCTCCGACCGGAAGGCCTCTCTTCTGACTCCAGCCCACCTGTCCAACCGGAAGGACTGGCCAACAACGCTTCTGACTCTAACCCGCGTCTCGGACCGGGGTTACACCGAACCTCTGCTTATAGCTCTTCTCCGACTGGCGTAGTCAGAGCCGACTGGAATCAACCGATCGGTGATGCCTGCTCGGTGAGGACCAGGAAATGGGCGGAGCAAGTAAGGCAGGACGCTCAAGTCAACCGCAAAACCAAGGACCGTAACCTGTACACCTGTAGGATAGTACCGATAGGACATGTCAGAAGGGTGCCCTACAACCTTCCAGGCATGTCCGAACCCGAGAAGTGTTGTGGGCGCCGATGATTTGCCCTACAGTGTTGTGGGCGTCATCAATTCCTATACCAGGCAAACATGGTAAAAACCCCCACATGCCTCTGGGCATCGACAGTGTTGTGGGTGTCATCATTTGCCATACACAGTGAATATGGTAAAACCTCCCACATGCGTTTGACACAAACAATGTTATGGGCGCCTACCATCATCCTGTACCCGACGGCATTGGAAATAAGACTTAGAAGCATACATACTCTCACTCTCTCTCTCACTTGTAAAGCCCGTCCCCTTCATCTATAAAAGGGGATGCGCTCTCTCCCAACGGGGAGATCAAATCAATTCACAACTCAGACAACACACACATGATCCGAACGACCAAGGATCCCAACGAATGATAGACGTTGGAACACTTAGCGCACAGCGAAGCTCCTATCACTCTCGGCCCTTCAGGCCAGAGTCTGACCGGGCCTCTTGCACCCCTATCTTTCTCCCTTCCATTTGTAACCCCACAGCTAACTTCGAGCACCTGGGCTCAGGAATAAAGTCACCGACCGACTCAAAATGGATGTAGGGCATGTTGCCTGAACCAGTATAAACCCTATGTCATTGAGTGCTAGGCCACATCCGATCACAACGTACGGCAAAACTACAAATATTTACGTGTTGGTCATTTTCTGCACCGACACTTAGGGCCCAGTCCCACCTAACCTAGAGTCTGGTCATCTCAAACTCCACATTCTTGACTGCAAACACTTCACCCTTGCTTGTGTGCCAACTCCAAGTATTACAACACATGTGTACAAGAGTTAGCAACATTCTAAGTCAATTCCCAAGGGTGTTAGGATAGCACACTAGGTTCAAATGCATATGTGTGATCAACAACACCTAGTGGCACTCAATAACCGCTTAGCCATGGTTTTTCCCTCTTAATAGTATGGCTATCATTTCTAAATGCACTCACGCCCTCTATGGTGTCTTGAGTGCCAAAACAAAATCCAATAATATACCTTTGCCTTGATCTCCATAGGATTTCTGTTTTTCTCTTTCCTCTTTTCCAAGTTGGAGCTTGATGACCATCATCACATGTCCATTTCCATCTTCGTGGACTTTGTCACCATGCTCCATCACTTGGTGTGAACCAACCTATCTTTTCATTTCACTCATGACAAAGGTTAGTACACTTGGGTTTCATCAATTAGGCAAAACCAAACTAGACCTTTCACTTAGTGAATTTGCTGTTGTGCAGATGTTTATTATTTTCCATTCGAATTGGTGTTTATGGTAGTGTTTCAAATGGTAGTGTTTGTCATGGCCACAATTACAATCCAAGGGAAATAAATAGATCAATAGGACTTAACACCACATTTAATTTTCATTGGACCTAACACAAGAATGGATATTGGCTGTAACATACGAAGAACTATTTCTCACCAAAAAGAAAACTACAAATCCAAGGGATGGTCCCTCTCAAAACAATCATTCATTTCCTTGGCAGCTAAAAAACATCTTGTTGTTCCCATGATGGTCATCAGTTAGGACAGCTGCCTTAACACCGGCAATGGTACCAGAACCATCAGTACATGGTACCATCGCCATTAGAGGTGGTGTCGACAGTGCTGGTAGTACTGCACGGCACACGAGCGGTGCGAGGAAGGCATCACACCTTCAGCCATGGTTTACAGTGATCGCCCTAATGGTGACCATGGTGAGGTGGATGCAGAGGTGGTCTGGGTTGACAGGACGCTGGACATCCAGGAAGTCGAACTTGCATTGTCTAGGGAGGTGCTCACCACAGAATCAGAACATGGCGGCACCATAGGCCAGCACCACCTCAAGGGCATGCTGAATCCTACCGATCCACACAGCCTGAGTCGGGTGCATGGGAAGCGGATCTCCGTAGCCCACCTGCCCCAACGCTGCTCTCGCACGCCCATCCAGTCTAGGGCCTTCTGTGGGCGACAATGAGTGGACA